CTGATTTTACATGACTATCCAATTCAGAGTCTGATTGAGAGCTAAAAATCAAATGGCATTACAAAAAAGGTAAAGTCACTAAGCAGCATAATCAAATTTTCAAACAATCCAGCTTCTAAAGCTTTCATCATCCTAGTCCTCCTCCCTTCTTTTTGCTTTTACTTACATATTCCTTTCTTTTCAAGAAGCAAAAAATATGTAAGTTCACCAAAATTCTGAATGTCACAGTGTGTACAGCACTTAATGAGAGGAGCTTTGGCATTGGGTATTACAAAGTAATTTTCATTACAGATGTTTTCTTCATTCTGGGTCAAGGCGAGGTAAAACAGGAAGAATAAGATTTCCAAATGCAGAGTCTTGAGTTATGAAGTATCCAGATGAATGTGCATGAGCATGCTGAGAAAGATTAAAAAAAAAAAAAAAACAAATAGAGTCACAATTTTCCAACCAAGTCATTAAAATTTCTTATCCTTTCTAAATGCTTGAGACCAAATTTATTTAAAAATCAATTCTTATTCTGTTAATTTTGTTGAAATACACAGGAGGTGGATAACACAGAATTTGGATTAACAAATTACACCAAGTACTCATTATCATCCTTACTATCTCCCCTGTGACTCTCTTCAATCAATAGATGAGTTAAAGACATGAACTGCTTTGTTCCTCAAAGTGAGGAAAACTAGCATCAAAGGCTCCAAAGTACTCTGCTTTTGGTCAACGAAGCAGGAAAGAAAGGATAGCAGTTGAAAGGAAAGGCAGAATGATTATTGATGATTGAAAATACCAATATTTGAGCTGGGGTTATGGCTTAGTGGTAGAGCACTTGCCTACCATGTGTGAGGCACTGGGTTCAATTCTCAGCACCGCATATAAATAAATGAATAAAATAAAGGTCCATCAACAACTAAAAAAAGTATTTAAAAAACAATATTTTATAGAGAATGTTGGAATGTAAATAATAAAGAAGCCACAAATAACTTCCCTCTGTATTAAAGTTCCATGTTTTTAGTTCAATGAAGTTGACACAGGTGCATTAAAATAGGTTGGAAATCACAATCTAGAGCTTCTACATCCTTTATTTACATTTTCCTATATAGAGAAACATTTTTTTTCAGCCTAATC